AGGTAAAATCTCTCCAAAAAAAATAAAATAAAATAAAAAAGTTAAGGGGGGCTGGCAGGTGGTATGGTGGTTAAGGCACTGGACTCCCACATGGTTGACTGTGGTTTGAGTCCTGGACCTGGCGACTTGATTTCTCACTTGCCCTCTCTCTCTCTCTCTCTCTCTCTTTCTCTGTTCCTCCCTGGTCAAATTAAAAAATATTTAAATTAAATTAAATAATTATTTTTCAAAAAATTATTTAAGTTTTATTTATTCATTATTTATTTTAATTTTATCAGACACACACACACACACACACACAGAGAGAGAGAGAGAGAGAGAGAGAGAGAGAGAGAGAGAGAGAGAGAGAGAGAGAGAGAGAGAGAGAAAGAGAGAAAGCAAGCCAAACCCTGGTCAGCCATGTGGGAATCCAGCGCCTTAACCACCACGCCACCTGCTGGTGGTTTATTTTTTTAATTCTTTAAAAAAATAAAAAGGGAAGAACCTATGAAAACTTGTGGCTCAGATCCGTGTCCCATGGCTGAGAAATAGGTGTGGGTTACAGTAAACTTGGCTGTAGGCAGACATTAGGGGGGATGCGCCCTTTGTGGATTTCTGCACAGCTAGGCTCAGGTTTTTGCATTCACTTCATATTTATCACAAATGAAATTGCATATGAGCAAATACGGAGTCCACCAATGCTCAAGTGGTTCCCTCGTGTATCAGTCACAGGAGCAAATGTGTTGTTCTAGACAGGAGTTCCAGCAGGACTGACTGCAGCCCCCGCCTCGTCCTGGGAGTCAGATACTGCCTGATCATGGATGGCAAATGCCTAGCCTGGCGCCTGGCGTATGCCACTTCAGTAAATTAGCTAAGCTTTTGTTGCTTTCACTTTGCTATGGGGCGCGTGTGCTAATCAGGGAGATAAAGAGAGAAGGAAAGTGATGTGGGGCCAGCAGGTGGTGTAGTGGTGAAGGCGCTGGACTCCCATGTGGTCGACTGTGGTTCGAGTCCTGGACTTGGCAGGTTGAAACTCATATTGGGTGCATGTGCGTGCATATCCAAAATTCCAAGAGGAGAATGGAGGAAAGGGATTGCAGTATAGCCATCCCCCTGGGAGGTGATTTATTGCTTTCTGTCTTTACATCTCTCTCTGTCTCTCGGCGAGCACAGTGCCCTATAGCAACAATGAAAAAAATCTTTTTAAAAGAGAAGGAAAGTGAGAAATCACTTCCCAGAGGGATGGCCATGCTGCATTCCATCCTCCTCTCCAGATTTTGGGCATGCACACACACATTCAGCGTGATTTCCACTCTGCCAGGTCGAGCATTTTAACTGAGTAGTCGGTCAAGTGGGGTCCCAGCTGCCTTAGCCTCTGTCCTACCTGCTGGTCCTTCTGCTGTTTGTTTGTTTGTTTTCTTTTTTTTCGGAGAGGTTTTTGCTATAGGGCATGTGTGCTCGCCAGAAAGACAGAGAGAGACAGAGAGATAGAAAGCGAGAAGTCACCCCCCAGGGGGGATGGCCACGCCACAGTCCCTTCTCCTCCATTCTCCTCTCGGGATTTTGGGCACACACACACGCCCAGCGTGAGTTTAAGCCACCAGGTCTGGGACTTGAACCGCGGTTGACTACATGGGAGTCCAGTGACATAGCCATTACACTAACTGCTGGTCCCTCTGCTGTTGTTTTGATCTCAGTTATCATGACAACCCTGCTAGGTAGGTGTCACTCTAAACCTGAGTCTAGATAGGTCAAGTCATTGCCAAGGTCAAGTGCCTAGGAAGTGGAGGTGCCAGGGTTCAAATCCAGGTGTGGGCACAAAACCCTCCATCCTATATAAACCCACCCCTAGAATCCTCTAGCTTCACAGCTGGAGGTACCCACACTGCCTTTATCCTGTTTGACCAGATGGGGGACAGAGGCCCATGGCGGGGCAAAAGCCTGGCAGAGGTGAGCCCATGAGTGACAGCCCAGGTCTGCCCAGTGTGAACCCCCTCCCACCCTCAGCTTTCCTGTTCGTGCAGGAATCCCTGCCTCTGCTCAATCCTCCGTGAAGCCCCTGTGTCAGGTAGGACAGTGGTGGGACCCAGAGTAGTAAAGATGCCCTCCTAACCCTGTGAGCAGACTGGCAAGTAAGAGAAGGTGGAGAGGCAGAAGCGGGCGGACATCTGAGCTGGCCCTGGGTTTGTAGGGGCACAGATTACATCATAGGCATGTCGGCTGCAAGCACAGTACTGCTTATTATGCGGGCTTCCAGAAGATGGCAGCAGAGAGCGCCAGCTTGCCTGGAGTTGGCCTGTTCTGAGTTTCTCACGGGAGGCAGAAAACAGCCTTAAAAGAGGTGCCCAGTTTTGAACCTCAAACAGAAACCTCTGGGTTAGCAGCAGCTGTACCATGCAAATGGAAAGGGCCCCAGGAGCCTGGAGAAAGGGGGACTGATAGTCAGCAGGTGGCATAGTGATTAAGGCGCTGGACTCCCACATGGCCAACCGTGGTTCAAGTCCTGGACCTGGGGCATGTGAATGCATGCCCAAAATCTCTAGGGGAGTCTAGAGGAAAAGAGATTCTGGCATGACTATAGGTCATCACTTTCTCTCTCTCCTGCCTGCCTCTGTGTCTCCAGTGAGTACGCATGCCCTATTGCAAAAATCTCTAAAAAAAAGAAAAGGAAGAAAAAGAAAAGGGGGCTGAGTGTGGGCACAGCCAGCAGAGCCACCTCATCCATCAGCATGAGCTCAGCTGTACTCTGCTGTAACAAGTGGCTGCCCGGCTCCGTGGCCATCAACAGAGCTGTAGTCCCCCTGTTCATGCCGTGGGCTTGGGGGTTTCTCCCCGGGGCAGACTCAGGGGCTGGCTCTTTTCATGCCTGGCTCCACCATTTCGACATGAACCTGCATCACACACACACACACACACACCGCACAGCTCCTTAGCCAGAACTGGTCCTCAGGCTGCCCACCTCCTGGGCTTGTCCCACTTTTCCTGAAGTCAGAGTTGGGACTCGGGAGGAAGCCACCTCTCTGCCTGTCCCAGGTGTCCCCTCCCTCGCCCTTACTCCTCAACCCTGTCTCTGCAGGTTTGTGCTCCTCGTGCTGACACACCTGGACCTGGAGCTGGTCCGTGCCGACATGGCCGTCCCCGACTCTGATCTCAGCAGGTACGGCTTCGGGCTGGTGCAGCCGGAACACGACGTGTCCATCCGCTACCGCGTCCGACCGTGACAGCCAGAGCAGGTGGCACCTCCTCCAAGCCTGCCCGACCTCCCAGCCCCGAAATGTTCCACATTTGGCCTCGATGCTTTCTATGCTTTTTCCCTAAAGGCTGGGGGTGGAAGGGAGCAAGAGAGAGTGATGGGAGAAAGCCCTCAAAAGCCCGAACTGCCCCTGCAGGCTTCCTCCACTGCCAGCTCACCTTGCAGATCCATGAGGGTAACCGCCGGGGCAGGGCTGGCATTGCTCACTGCTCCGCCCCCAGGCTCAGAGGGGTCCCCTTCCGGGTCCTCACAGCTGGCGATCCAGCTTTATGCAGTCAGTCGAGGTAGATGCTGGTCGCAGGAAGACCACGTGAGGCCGAGCATTGTCCAGGGGACTATGCTCCTCTCTCCGGTTATTATAAAATTAGCCAAAGCCAAAGGATCTGCTTAGGAGTTCTGCTTCCCTGGGTGGCCCTTCCTTTTCCTTCCGTTCACACTAATATTGGAAAATACATGGGAGAGGTTCCCAAGCCGGCGCCTCCTGGGTTCAGGCATCGTCTGAACTCGGGGCTCCTCGGGGAGAGTTCTCTGTTCTGGAGTTGCAGAGGCCCAGTGGCTCTCCCCATGCCACGGCCCAGGGAGGGACCTAAGGAGGACAGGGCCGTGGGGAGGGGACGGCTGGAAGGAACCAACCAGCTCCTAACTGGTCCAGCCAGAGCAGAGGAGGTGTTGACCTCGCTCATGTAGTGCAGAACATTCTAGTATGAGCTCCAGCCAGTGTGCAGGACTATTGTATCTGCCCCACACTTTACAGCATCACCTTAGTTGCTATCAGATCATCTTCGGAGAGTTTATTCGACCGATGGAACACTTCAAAGCTTTGGCTGCACAGGGTCCATATATATATATATATATATCTTTTTTTTTTTTTTTTGAGAGAGAGATTTTTGCTACATGCGCTTGCGCTCACCAGAGAGACACAAAGCAAGAAATCACCCCCCGGGACTATGGCCGCACCACAATCCCTTCTCTTTCATTTTCCTCTCAGATTTTGGGCGTACACGCACACGTACCTGGTGTGAGTTTCAAGCCTCTGGGCCTGGGACTCAAACCGCTGTTGGTCATGTGGGAGTCCAGCAGCGTAACCATTATGCCATCTGCTGGTCCCAGGATCCATGTTCTAAGGGAGCCACTGGCCAGAGCTGAGTAGCAGCTGTCTCCCCGAAAGCAGTGGACGCACCGGGCTTTGACCCCTCGGCTTCTCCAATCACTGCGCCCCCCAGCCCACTCACACTCGAATCTGAGACCAGGTTCTGAGAAGTAGTTGTAGGAGGCTGCAGGAACCAGCTCACGCTCTTTAGACCACTCGTCCACTTAGCCTGGGTGCACCCTCCGGTCAGACATCGGTGGTGAAAGCGTGCCTTTGCCTCAGTTTTAGAAAAACAAAAACCAGTGTAAAGAGGAAAATTGCCAGCAAACTTTTATCGTGATGCTCTGTGAAGACAGGATGGTCCTGCCCTCTTCACAGATTAGAAACCAGCTCAGAGAGGTGAAGTGCCTTGCCTGGGGTCACACAGCTTGTAAGCTGGTGAACTTGGCAAACAGACTTTAAATGCTGGATGGGCAGCTCTTTGTTCCATGGGCTTATGAGGGTGGTGGGGGCACAGCTCTGCTTGACATCAGAGAGCTGACAGAGCCAGAGGCTCTCAGCATGGGTGCATCTCGTGAGACACGCGCACACGCACACACGCACACGCACACACACAGCGAGATTCCTCTAGTTTAACTGGAGGGAGGGATGAAGACCCAAGTCCTCTGTTTCAGGGCCTAGTCTCTTCTGGAAATGCTGGAGCTTGGGGGCTTCCCTGGCCCTCAGCCTTAGGCACCCCCAGGATTCCCAGACACTGTGATTGGCAGGAGGCGGGATATCCCTAGGGAAACCCATCTTCACGCCTGGGTGACCCTGCTGCCACTGGCTTCTTAACTCTGCAGGAAATCAGAGCTGGCAGCCTCCGGTGGGAGGATGGAGCCAGTTGCCATGGTAACCCGCAGCTGCCTCTTCTGGCCTGGAAGGGAAGGGGAGGAAGAAAGCCAGCCGAGAGAGAGCTCCGGAAGGTCTCCCTGCAGGCTGCAGCCCTGGTGGGCTACAGGAAGCCTTCCAGGCTATCCCCCTTTCCAAGTCAGGGCTGAGCTGTTGCTGGGGCTGGATTCTCACCTGCCTTCAAAGCAGGGCAATTCCCTTTGAAGGTGCCACCTCCTTGGCGCCACCATCATGAGGGAATTATTGGAGGAAAGGTGGGTGTCCCACCAGGCAGCCCCAGCTGTCACCTGCAAGATGGGAGGGGCTCAGGAGACGGTCTAACCCTGCCCTTGCTTTTGCTCTGCTTTCTCTCTCTCGGTTTTTAAAATAATAAGCTATAGAGAAAGCAGAGCTGAGTGGATTAACTCCTTGCTTCCAGATAGTTAGGAAGGGGCCCAGATACCATCGTACTTCTGCGTACCTTGCCTGCAAATCACAAAGCTGTCAGGTCCGCGCTGGAAATACCCCTAGGTGGACTGAGGAAGCGTCTCGGCGCCGTTGTCATTCTGACTTCCATCCTATTTTGTGTTGTTGTTTACCATATAGGCTCCTTTAAATAGACTTGCTTTTTAAACTTAAAATATATTGTTAAAAAGGGAACTTTTTTTTTTTTTTAAATCACTGCTGGTACTGGGCAACATGTATCACTTGCTGCCAAAAATAGAAAGTGACTGCGAAAAATAAATCCGCTGGGAGGGGGACGCCATGCTGGTGTCCCCAGGGCCTGGAGCCGGAGAGCTGTCTCTGCGCAGAGGAGAAAAGCAGGAGTTAGAGCTGCCTGCGGCCGCATCCGAGACTCCCTCTCCCCAAATAGGGTCACAGGGGTGACAGGGACAGCAAGAGGGAGTTGCTGACCCCATGGGCCACCCAGGGCCATCTGCCACCAGGGGGCTGGTGGCATTCTACCTGCACGTTCTCCGGAGTCCGACTGTTTACCCCAAATCATTGATTTTGATGGTTGTTTTAAATATAAGTCCAACATTTCATGAGTAGCGGTGGTTGTTCTGCCTTGCTGTTCTAATAGAGTTCTCTTTTCGTATATCATTGTCGAGTGGGAACATGCTCAGGACGGTTAAACCTCCTTGTTTGTGGAACTGCCTTGAGTGTGAGTCTGATCAAGGCAAGCGACTACACCAGGAGTGGCGAGTTGGCTCCTGGGAAGGGAGCACTGAGCACCTACTGTGTGCCCAACCGCGGATCTGGGCCTCTCAGGGAAAACAGGTCACAGCTTCAGCCACTTGCTAGGCGTATGTCATGAGCCCCGTTTTTACAGAGGAAGAAACAGAGGGTCAGAGAGGTGAAGTGACTTGCCCAAGCATTTGTGGCTAAGCAGGAGTCTAATTAGACGCCGGAGTCTAATGCAGGCCTCTCTGCTGCCTTGGGGTGTTCAGGGCCCTCCCATCAATGATTTGTCTGGTGGCAGCGGAAGGACCTGGTACCCACAGAGGACCTGGGGGTGGAGGTCATGAGCAGACACACAAAAGGTTCTTTAAACACCTTTTGAAGGTTCATCCTTCATCATAATGCAAGCGTTTGTTTTAATATAAAAACAGAGGGTGGAATGGATTAAATTAGCTTTGGGGAAAATTGTTTTCACTCCCAAATTTTGCGTAAAAGTAATATCCCAGAGCAGATGTCCCTCACATCAGGTTCCCCATCCGTGAGGGTGTCATGGAGGCACGTTGGTGGGGATTGGCTCTGCTGACGGCCTTCTCAAAGAAACACAGCAACACTTCACACGTTGAAGCATCTCCTTTTAAGACAGCAGACATTTCTTTCTCATGCCGAGACAGGAGACCAGGGACAGTGGGGCATCTGAACAATCAGTAGGCACCTCCTTTATGGTTCCTTTAGCATCCATCATCAATGGTTTCCACCTCAGGACCGGTACCGCTGCTTGAGCTCCACTCATTTTTATCCACATTCCAACCAGCAGGAAGAAGGGAGAAGAGGGGGTGGGGGTGGAAAAGTCCTTTTTGCTTTTATTTCATTGGTGGAACTCGGTCACATGGCTCCTTGCGGCATAGGAGGCTGGGAAATGTAGTCTTTTCAGAACATCAGTACATGCCCCCTGAGGAGCCGCCTACCCCAGCCTGACAAGTGCTGCGTATTCAGTTTACCAGTCCTTGGCCGGGCAGAGGACAGGGCTTGACTTCCCTGAGTCATTGACTTTATATCCTGAGTGCCAGGGGTCTGCAGCCAAGACTTTGACCTTTCTTACTTCTATACTGCCACAGTCCACAAGAAGACTCCTGCATGCTAGTTTTCTGGGTAAGGACATTAAGAAAGAGCGTCTGCATTGGTGTGCAGACCAAGATGGCCGCCTTTCTCAGGAACGCCTGGTCCCGGGAGTAGGTGCTGGCCGCATCGTTCACTGCAGGCCTCACTGTCATCCTGCCTCACACCAAGTACTCAGTATGATGAGCCAGGCCACACCCTACCCAGGGTCCTGCCGAGATGACGCCCGATGTGCCCAGCCACCCCCAGGATCCCCAGTCCTCAGCCTGGAGTGGCCAAAGAAACTGAGCACCTCTGTTGACAGGACCACTCTGAAGCCCCCTAGTAAAATGTGAACCCCCTCCTACTCCCAGAAAAGAAATAGCATCTGTCAGGGCCAGCTCTGTGGCCTGGTGGTTGAAGCAGCTGGATTCCATAAGGCCAGCTGCATGGTTCGAGTTCTGACCTGGTGTTCCGAGAAGCACGCTGGGTGCATGTGCATGTATGCCCACAATTCCACAAAGAGGGAAGATGGAGGAGAAGGGGTTGCGGCATGGCCATTCCTGTAGGAGTGCCTCCTTTTCTCTCTCTGGCAAGTGCACGCACCTGCTAGCACAAAAAAAAAAAAAAAAAAAAAAAAAAAAAAAACAAAGAAAAGGAAAAAAAAAAGAAATACATTCGTCATTTGCTTCACTGTCCTTCTCAAGTGGGCATTTTAATACCCTTGAAGCAGAAAGGTAGCTTCCATATCAGAGTTAACGCAACCACTCAGAGTTGATAGTTAATAGCTTGAAAGTGGAAACAACCCATCCACTAACGAATGGAGAAACAAATATGGTGTATCCATGTGAGGGAATATTTGTCTTTAAAAACGAAGGAAGTCCTAAAAAGGCCACTCCACGACTGAACCTTGCTAAGTGAAGGAGGTCGGTCACAGAAAGCCACACATCGTATGACTCCTTCTATAGAAAATGTCCGGAATCGGCGAGTCTCGAGTCCCAAAGTAGGCTGGTGGTTGCCAGGGCAGGTGGGAACGGCAAGGGTGGGAGCGACTGCTGACAGAATCTGAAATTGATCGCAGCGATGGCGGCACTGAATCGCACACGTTGAAAGGGTGAATTTTGTGGTATTTGAAATATGTCTCAATAAAGCTGGAATGCATGTTTTTAAAGTAACTATTTTGCACATCTAGCATGTGCCGGGCACCATTCTAGGCAACAGGGACCAGCAGTAAGGAGGACACACCCACTCCCCCCCACATCCCTGCATTCATGGCACCGCCAACAGTCTCTGGGAGAGAGCAATAAACTAGGTAAATAAGGAAAACAGGAAGAATGCCAGATGGTGATAAATGCGTGAAGAATAAAGGAGAAGGAATAGGAGGTGCAATTTAAAATAGGATGGGCAGGGAAGGTCCTCCTGCGGGGACGTTGGAACAGGAACTCAAGGGGAAGGAAAGAAACCATTTGGGTATTTGCAGAA